CAATATTGTACCCTCCCACGTCTCGATTTCGCGAACTCTTGGTACGGGAGTAGAACGTAAAGTGCATGTTTGTCGTACCGGACATTTCGTGTTTGTCGCGTAACTTCTCGCTTTCTCTCTCTAGACGGTCGCCGATACAGAATCGTTCCGCGTGTAGAATTAAATCGCGTCTCGTATAAAACTAAGTGCGTTAGATTCCGTTGCGTTTAGTATAATTGCGTCCCGTCGCGTCTCGTCGCGTCTCGTCGCGTTTCGCCGCGTTGCGTTCCGTTAGAATAATTGCGTCGCGTTTGGTTAAGTATTTGCGTTGCGTTTCCGTTAAATTAGTTGCGTCGCGTACCGTTCCGGGAATCGAGGAAATATCAAAGATTGTATTCCGCTTAGGAACTTGCATATTTCGCTTCCGTGGTTAAAATCTCGCGGAGATCGTATCTCGGCCTTCCGCCGAGAACGTTACGGTTAAATCAAATTCCGATACTGGATCACACTGTACGCCTAGGTTACTTAGATATTAAATAAAACACCGCTGTTAACAAATACCGCTAACTTGAGGTTTCTCGCGAATTATCCCGAATCACGTACTCTCGTCCGCCTCCGCGTCTAGCTCCTTTACCCTTAAAGAATCCCGCCACTCTACCATTGCGTTCGGATACTGAGCTACCGAGCCGTTCCGCCGCCGATTCGAATCTTCCGCGTTTTTCCGAGATCGACATAAACGATTTTCCCATCTTCCCGCTATAGAGTCTCGTTTCGCGTCTAAGTTCTTTATCGCGACGCTGAGAAGCGTCTGGCGCCCAATTATCAAATAAAATAAAGCGATATCGAACGGGTTCGGATCGGGCGCCGAAGTGCTACGCGCTCGCGAATCCGCGGAGGCGCCGCGGCGGTCATCGTCGCGGGCACGGTCAAGAGGGGCCGATCGAGAATTCGCGAGCGAAGCGGGGTCGCGGGCCGTTACCGAGCTAGCCGCGAAATACCGTGTAGCAGTTGACAACCGGTCAAGTCAGTTTCTGGACGTAAAGAAAAAGCTTTGTTGACAACATATTCTTACTCACGTAGTTATCGTTTAATCAATGAAAATAAAAACTTGGAAAGTCATAAATAGAGTACCACCTTATACATAAACACGAATTCATTGATCCTGTACACTGTACAGTGCGAATCTCACTTCAACTTAACCCTTTGCACTCGTATGTCACACTGGAGGTGACAATACTAATTTACTCTACAACTCTTATGTCACATTGGAGGTGACAATTCTATTGTATGTCTGTAGACAATACAGACTTGGTGTCGAAACCAAGTTTTGCTTAAAAACAATATGTTGCATGCCGAAAGAACAATTTGTTAGTCTTGGCATGGAAGGATAAACGTGACTATGTTAAGTAGTACCGGCATTTCAAAGATGCAAACCATCAACAGAATACGAAAATATGGTGATACAGTAGAAATAAGAAAGCCCCAAGTAATTTTGAATTACAATAAATTTATGGGGGGTGTTGATCTAGCTGATCATTATGGATCAACCTATTGTTTTTTAAGAAAATCTATTAAATAGGGGCGAAAACTTTTTTTCTGGGGTTTAGAGGCAAGTGCCATTAATTCATACATTTTGTATAAATTTTCATGTAATAAAAATGGGGTGAAGCTAATAATTCATTTACGTTTCATACGTAAGTTAGTTCTTTCCTTGGTGGGAGATTTCAGACAAAGAGCTAAAAAACGCGGGCGACCATCAACATCAGATGTAGAGAATCGACTTGATGGAAAACTCCACATTTTAGTACCTCATCCGAAAAAAAAACATAACGATTGTATGGTCTGTTCTAACA